TAAGATTCTTCCTTTTAAGCACCAAAGGAGGCAAGAAAAGCTTCATTTTTCTTTGCTGTGCCCCTTTTCATAAAAGAATTTGTTCTGCAAAATTTGGTTTCAGTCAAAAGGCTGCACTTAAGGACCCAGGCAACATTTTGCCGTAAGGCCACAGGTTCCCCACCCCTGGCAGAGGTGGGAGAGGAGGTTAAAAGAGGTGTCAGGGGACCAGTTTTGTCAAACCTTTATAGGCCAAAGTAAGCCCTTGATTTTTTTTTCTTTTTTATTGTGATAAAATATTGTGATAAAATATACATAACAAAAATTACCATTTTAACCATTTTTAACTACAGTTTTGTGGCATTAAGTACATTCGCACTGTTGTGTAACTACCACCCATCACCACCATCCATCTCTAGAACTTTTTTCCCCCTGAAACTCCGTACCCATTAAACAACTCTTCCTCCCCACTTCCCCAAAGTCCCTGGTAACTAGGGCCTTTGATTTTTGTTTCCTGAGTGAGATGGAAAGACACTGGAGGGTTCTGAGTGAAGGCATGACATCCCTTACAGTATTGTAATAATATAATAGTAAGGATGAGTTTAATATACGTTATTTCATTTCACATCTACAGCAACCCTATAAATGATAGTGATTGCACGTGGTTTTATAGCATTTTTTATGTCCCATGTCGCACTGTTTTAAGTACTTGTCATATATTAGCTCATTTAATCCTCATACCAGCCCTATGTGGTAAATCACTCTTATCTTCATTTGACATATGAAGGAAACGTAGGTGCGAAGAGATGAGATAACTTGCCTGCATTCATAGTTTGTAAGTGGTGAGGTCAGGCTATCTGGCTCTTAACCACAGTGTTTTACTTCCTTTCTATGAAGTATTCTTACATAGCACAATGAGTGTAAGTAATATGCTCACACACTGGGCGGAGTGTGGCAGAGGTGGGGTTCAAATCCAGGTCTATGTGCCCCTACTGCTTTCCTACCCTTTCTGAAATTCAGCCCAACATTGCCTCCAGGCTTCCAATCCAGCTCCCCCAAGCACCCAGCTATGCCTCGCCTCTGTGCCTTTGCTCTTAGAATTCCCTTTGCCGGGACGGCCTTACCTGGTCCAGGATCATCGCCGGGAAGCCTTTGTTGATGTCTAAAACTAGGGTAGTGGCCTTTCCACTTTGCTCCCATAGTCTATCGGACTTAACACTATTAGCATTTATTCAGTTATTCATGGCCAGGGGCCATTCAGTGCCCATGCTAGTTAAATATTCTTTAATTTAAAAAATTTTAAGACCTTTTTATTTTGAAATTCCATACTTAAGTTACAAAATAATGCAAAGCATTCTTGTATATGCCTCACCTAGATTTCCCAAATGTTAACATTTTACCATGTTTACATAAATATCTTTTTTCTCTCTATATATACTTATATATTTACATGTTAATATTATATTAAAATATGTTTATTAAATATTTAATATATAAATTTTTTGTGTGAACCTTTTGATAGTAGGTTGTAGACATATCTCTTTACCCCTAAATACTTAAGCGTGTCAGTGAACATTTCCTATGAACAGGTTATCTTTTACATATCTATGACATAATTATCAAAATCAGGAAATTAACATTGACAATTGTCCTTATAGAAAAAAATACCCAGTGTAAGCTCCAGCTCAGGATCCCATGTTGCATTGAGTTGTCATGTTTTTTTTGTTCGTTTTTAGAGACAGGGTCTCGCTTTGTCGCCCAGGCTGTAGTGCAGTGGCACAACTGTAGCTCACTGCAGCCTCATACTCCAGGGCTCAAGTGATCCTCCTCCAGCAGCCTCCTGAGTAGCTGGGACTACAGGTGTGTGCCACTGTGCCTGGATAACTTTTTATTTTATTTTGTTTTGTAGAGACAGGGTCTTGCTATGTTGCTCAGGCTGGTCTTGAACTCCTGGCCTCAAGTGATTCTTAGCCTACCAAAGTGCTGGGGTTACAGGAGTGAGCCACTGCACCCAGCCATTGATATTTTTGAAGCATATGGACCAGCTATTTTGTAGAATGTTCCTCAGTTTGGGTTTGTTGGATATTTCCTCACGATTAGATTCAGGTTATGCATTTCTGATGGGAATTCTACAGAAGTGATGCTGTATCTTCAGTGCATCACCTCATGAGATAATGATATCCAGCCAGTTAAATATTTCTGGGTATCCTCCCTGCTGCCCGTCTCCCCAGTAGGCTGTGAGTTCCTGAAGGACCCTAGCCCACCTTGATTTTCTCCAGCTCTCCTGATAACCTGCACCCAAATCTCTTTGTAGCTTCTTTGGTTTCTATGATGCAAATGAGACGGTCTTGGAGATGGAGGAGCAACTGGTGAGCACCCTGGGATTACCCCTGCTTCACTCACTGTCCTGCCCCATTCTGGAGCCCTCCCTGCCAATGACTCCTTAGCCGAAGGGTTCACCCTGTGGGGAGGAGGCCCAGGACACCAACAGTAACTCACATTATCTCTCCTTGTGTCTTTCTTCCATGCTCCCGTGCCCCTTTGCCCACCTTGAAGGTTTATCTGCGTGATTCCTTTGGGCTGAAGACTCTCTTGGCCCGGGGGGCCATAGTGAGGTGTCCGATGGCCGGGATCTCCCACACGGCCTGGCATTCCAACCGCACCCTTTATGAGACCTGCATTGAACCTTGGCTCTCCTGAGGATGTCCTCAGAGTCCCCAGGACCTCCCCAGCCCAGAAACCAAGTGGTGGCCTTGGAAAGCAGATGTCAGGCTCTGGCATGCCTATGACCACCTCATTGCTCCCACACTGCCCCCCACCCACCAGATCTCCCAGAAGCCCCCCTCTTCTGTTCCTCCGTGAATGAAAAGTTCCGGTCTCCCCTACCTCGTGTCCTCTTACTTGGAGGGTTGCTCCATGCTCTCCCTTTCTCCCAGGGCCGAAGTTGGGAAGTGAGAAACCAGGTTTTTAACTCGTGGCTGCTCCTGTTGCTGCTGCTGCTGCTGCTCCTCCGTATCTGGCTGTACAGGAGGACAACCCAGCCCCTGCCCACCACAGGGGTCTTCCAGGCCACTCAGGACATTTTTAGCTTCTGTCTTCCCCATGTTCCTTTTTTCTCTGAACTCCCCTGTCATCAGCCCTCCCAACCCCCAAGAGGGACTACCCATGAGAGTGGGGTTCTGAGGCTCCCCCATGGGGACAGTACCGTTCTCAAAGTGTCAGTGTTGGGGAATATCTGTGGCCTGTGAGGCCCATCTCAGGTTTGGGGATCCCCCAGTCCCTATGATCAGTGTTGGGGTAACCCCTGGGAGCCTAGTTTCTTTGAGGCTCCAGCCCTTCTTTTAACTACCCTTGAAGGGGTGTTACCCTGTATTTATGGAAATAAAGTTCCATTTCCTCAGTGTGGCTTGGCTCATTTCCAGGTGAACGGAACCTGGTTCCTCAAGGAGGGTGGGGATAGAGAGCTTGAGGTCTGGGTGCCCGGATGCCTGGTCTGGGGTGGGGACCCCCCCTTGGTGTTTCCGTTCTCTCTCAATGCCCATTCTTGTGGGTTCCTGATTCTCTGTGGGTTCTTTCCTGCTGAAGACAATTCTCTTCCTGTCATAGCCTAAGATTGGGGGGCTGAGCCCAGGGCTCCAGTAGTTTGGGCCTCAGCCTCATGGGTGGAATGTGCCTGCCACCCCCAGGCTAGACAAGGGGCCTGAGGGTCAGGGTGGGCATTTGTTGTGCCCCTTTTTGAGCTTTGTAGGCCAGGGCTGGGTGAGGGGCTGGACAATGAGCCTCCTCTTTCTTGAAAGAAGGAATTTTGGCTGAGACAATAGGGCCCTGTCTACTCTGGCATGGGGGGTGGTAGCTGACTCAACTCTGTTCCCCCCTAAGCCCTAGCAAATGTCAGCAAGAGATGGGGGCAGTTTTTCCTTTGGTGCCCTGGGCTGCCCACCTGCCCCTTTGTGACGACTTGCCCTTCTTTCTTTCCTCAGCTGATCTTGCCTCTTCTCCCAGGACCTGACCTGCTTTTTCCCTGCCAGCTCTGTCTCTCTACCCTCCCCCTAAGTCTCCCCCAGTCTGTGTTAGGTTGAAGGTGGGGGCAAGGGCCAGGGGTACTGGTGTTGTTATAAAACCAGTAGCCTCTGCTGATTTGGGGAGTTCAGAAATAGGAGGCCTCAGAGGGTTGGGAAGATACTTCTAGGAAAGCCTTTGTGGGGTGGGGATGAGGGCAGTGGGATTTGACTCCACTGAACTGACCAGGCTGGAACCAAAGAGAAGGCTTGTGGGAGGGGGCAGGGATGGGAGGACTCTGGCCCAGCCCCTCCTCTCCTTCCCAGCCTGCCCCTGCCACCCACCAGTCTGAGCTGCTGCTGCTGAGGCTGGTCTGCTTGAAGTCTCCCAGGACAGAGGGGAAGCCAGGTGGGAAGAGAGTGTTGATGGGGAAAGAGTTGGGGTCACTCAGAACCCCAGGGTGGGTGTGAGTTGGAGGCCTTGTTGGAATGAGGGATGTGCATCTAGGGTGTATGTGATGGTGTGGGTGTGTGAAAGTAGGACTTGGTTTAAGGTGTGGCATTTGTGGAATTTGGTTCCAGGTGCTCGGGTTTGCGTGTAAGGTGTGAGGGTGTATGATATCTGGGGTTTTGAAGGTGTGAAGATTAAGTTATAAGAGGGCATGTTAAAGATAGTGTCCTGAGGGGACGGTTGGCCATGTGTCTGTCCCTCCAGGTTGTGCAGAGAGGATTAGGAGCGGATAGGTTAGAGGGGTGGTGGAGGGCATGCTTTGAGGTGTGAGCTTGTATGATGCTGAATGGATCATGATAAGCTACAGGATAGGATGGTCTTAGTTAAATGTACACAAAGGTGTAAACAATCTTGGTGGCTAGTGTGTGAAAGTGAATGTCCTGACCCCCTTAGAGGGTACCAGCAGACTGCTCTTGGAAGGGCTGGGGCTGGAGAAGTTAACAGGAGAGGGGAAGGGCAGCCATTAACCTCTTCTTGCCTGCAGCCTACAGAGTCCAGAGTAGAAGAGAATCATGGGGTCCCGGGCTGAGCTGTGCATTCTCTTAGGCGGATTCTCATTACTCCTGCTCCTGATGTCAGGCCAGGGGGCCAAGGGTGGATCTCTCCAAGAGAGGTGACAACAGAGGGGGCGGGGCCGGGGGTGAGCTCTTCAAGGGAGCCTTCTGCTGGGGCTGGGAGTTCACAGGAACGAAACAACGTTAAAAGTTTCACAACGTTATAAGTTTCGTTGGTGGGAGGTGATGCCGTCATCTGTAGGGAAGGCTGTTCCTCAGTGGCTCCTTGAGGGAAATGGGACTCCTGCCTCCCGAGGGCCTGGCCCACTCAGTGTCTCCCACCTCCTCCTCTGGCATGGATGCAGTCAGGGGGTCTGCTCCAAGCAGACACTGGTGGTCCCGCTCCGCTACAACGAGTCCTACAGCCAACCGGTGTACAAGCCCTACCTGACCGTGTGCGCTGGAAGGCGCATCTGCAGTACCTACAGGTGAGGGACGGGGGGCTGGGACTCCGGGGTCTCTCAAGAGGGACCCCAAGAACCCCGACCAGGACCCGTATGTAGGGTCCTGAGAGGGGCGCTGTGTTCCAGGACCACTTACCGCGTGGCGTGGCGGGAGGTGAGGCGGGAGGTGCAGCAGACCCATGCCGTGTGCTGCCAGGGCTGGAAGAAGCGGCACCCGGGGGCGCTCACCTGTGAAGGTGAGGCTGGGTCTTCCAGGCCTTGCGGGAGGCGCGAAGGAGCTGGGGAGCGGCGCAGTAGGTGTGGGTCTGAGTCCCCCTTCCTCCGCCCGCAGCCATCTGCGCCAAGCCTTGCCTGAACGGGGGCTCCTGCGTTCGGCCCGACCAGTGCGAGTGCGCCCCCGGCTGGGGAGGGAAGCACTGTCACGTGGGTGAGTCGGCTCGCCCTCCCCCCAGCGGTGGTGCCCGGCCTCCCCACCCACCGGGGCGCCCGCCCCCGCCCCCTCTCTCAGCCCGCTCCTCTTTCCGGTAACTAGATGTGGATGAATGTAGGGCTGGCGTCACCCTCTGCTCCCACCGTTGTCTCAACACGGCAGGCAGCTTCACCTGCAGCTGCCCCCTCGGCCTGTTGCTGGGCCCGGACGGGCGCACCTGCGCAGCGGAGTCCCCGGAGCCGCCAACCGGCGCCAGCATCCTCAGCGTGGCCGGTGAGCGGGCGGGAGTATGCGCCAAAGGGAGGACCCTGGGCCCGAGGCGAGGGCCTGGGCATTCGTGTGCTCGCTCTTTTTTGTCCTAGTTCGGGAGGCGGAACATGACGAGCGCGCACTGAGGCGGGAGATTCGTGAGCTGCGAGGGCGCCTGGAGCGGCTGGAGCAGGTGAGCCGAGGCGCCTGGGGCTAAGCCCGCGGACCGGCGGGGCGAGGCCGCCCGGTTTCAACACCCCGAGGCGTCTCTTCCTTTGTAGTGGGTCGGTCAGGCCGGGGCCTGGGTCAGAGCGGTGCTGCCCATGCCGCCCGAAGAGCTGCAGCCGGAACAGGTGGCTGAGCTGTGGGGCAGAGGCGACAGGATCGAATCTCTCAGTGATCAGATGCTGCTGCTGGAGGAGAGGCTGGGCACCTGTGAGTCCTCACACTCCTCCTACCTAGACCCGTCTCCCAACTGTCCCCAGCACTTCCAGAGACTCCTCCCCAGTCAGCGTTCCCTCTTTTTCAGAAACCCCTCTCCAACATTCACTCTCTCCATACCTTCCCACCCTTCTCTTCTGGGACCCTGTTCACAGCCCAGTAGTTACCCAGCTTATTGTTGGGTGAGACTGGCAGCGTTGTCCACTCCAGGCTGGAGGTGGCCCCCACAGACCACAGCCACTTTGTCTGCCTTGTCATTAACTAGGCTCCTGCGAGGACAACAGCCTGGGCCCTGGCCTCAATCATTGATAAGGAGCCTCGCAGCGCCCCTGCCCCCTAATTTATACAGAAACTGGACCCCCTAATCCTCTGGGATTGGCCAACTGGGAGCTGCAGATAAGGCTATCAGCCACTGAGGAGCAATGAGCAATGGCAACTTCGGAGAGCTGGAGAAAGGGGAAGGCAGGTGGTCTTGGCCTACCCCTGAGCCTTCTGGCTGGAGGCAGGTTGCCTGGGCAAGAACTGCTTCTTCAACTCCTTAACAAACGCAACCAGCAATCACCCAGATCTTTCTCTCTTTATTTTCAGTTTCTTGCTTTTATCCAGGTAATTAATAAAAATCAACCACGCAAAACTCGGTCCCACCTTCTCCTTTTGCTCCCAGTCTACCTCCCTGGTTGTGGGAACAGGTCTGGAGTGAGAGGCAGGGAGTGGCTAATGCCACTGGGAAGAAATGAAAACTGGCTCAGAGAGGGGGAAGCCTCAAACAGAAAGAGAAATAAATTAAAAGCCCTCTTATCCCCTCCAGCCAGGGTTCAGTTCTTTTCCCCAGCTCCCCGGGGAGCAGAAGTTGAGTGCAGCACCTGATGTCTGCCTCTTCCCCTTGTGTCTGGTTAGATGGTACAGCGGGGCTGCCGGGAGCTGGGTAGGGCCAAGACCACTGAAGAACTGTACCACGGGGACAGGGAGAAGCAGAAATGTGGAGACCGAACTGGCATCCAGGAGTATACACGACCCTGTGCATCTGGGCAAGAGCAGGGATCTCTGAGTTAGAAGAGTCCAGCCCCCACTGACAGGAGGCTCCACCGGAAGGGAAGGTGAAGGCGCTGAGGAAAGTTCCCAGGCCGAGCCTGGGAGGGGTGTTCCAGGTATCAGCTTCCAGCCACAGGGTGAGAAGTCCTCCTCACAGACAGATGAGTCCACTGAATCCATGGACTTGGGGTGGGGGGAGAATTGTTCCACAGAATGGATGAGACCACTGGCCAATGTTGGGTAGACAGGGAGAGACCACAAAGGAAGAGAGTCTACTGGGGATGGGATGGAATGTTCCCCACCCTTGTGTAGGCTGAGCCACTCACTCGAGATGTGGGGGAGGCAACTGTCCCACAAACAAGGTGGCAGGAGGTGGGGGTCAGAGTGGAGACTGCACTGAGGCACGAGAGTCCACGGGTGGGGCCGGGAAGGGGCAGGGAGTGGCGCTGTATCCACGTTCACTTCAGAAGTTGAAGATTCCAAAGAGGAGAATTAAGTGGGGAGAAGGGAACTGAGGAAGAGGGCTTGGCCCTGCTCAGGGCCCACTGGGTCGGTAGGTGTGGGAAGGAAGATGGGGATAGATGGGAGGTGAGCTCAGAGCCGGGCTTCACCCACTCCCCCAGGCTTCTTCAGATAGTCACCACCACCCCGGCCATCAGTGGAGATTTCCCGGAAAACGGTGAGCATGGAGTGCCGGACTCTGTCAGCCAGAGCTGGGACGTCGTCTGGTGTCAGCCCTTCTGTGGGCACTGGGGGCAGCACCCGCACCTGACATCGCCCTGGGGCGGGGGAGCACCATCATGGCCTGTCCACCCAGGTCTTTGCCCACAGGTGGGGCCCACCTTCTGAGCGCGATCCTGGTATTACCCTCCTCAACTTTTCAGTTCTCTTCCACCGACCCTGGACAACCACCCCTGCTTGCCAGCTGCCACCTGTTTTCTGAGGCTCTCCTGTACAAAGGCTTCCCCAAACCCCAATCCAGATACCCGCAGCACCCTCCAGCCCTCCTTGTCTGGATTCAGTATTTACTGCCAAGTGTTATTCATTACGGCTTTGCACACACAGGCCTTATCTTTCCTGCTAGATAGTAACAGCTCCTCTTGGAGGGGCCAAGTACTACCCATCAAGCAGGGTATGGTGGGTACTTAGCAAATACTTATTGGCTGATGTGGGGTCAGACTAGATGACTGTGTGGCTATCTCATAGCTCTGACATTCAATGATCCCCCTGCCTCACTGGGACATCCTCCCAGCCTCTCCTATGGCCTTTCCGGACACACCCTACCCCAGACCTGTTTGGAGCCCTCACCCGAGGTGAAGCGGCGTTCCTTCTTGCAATAGAAGTCTCGATAGGAGGACATGACTATGGGGACAATGGGAACCTGGAGAAGGGGTAACGCAGATCAGCACACAGCTCCCTTCTGAGACTCCCACCACTAACCTCTGCCCTGAGAAGAGGGAATTGTGGGAGGCAGGGGCTGAGTAGCAGGAAGGGAAGTAGTAATCACCTGGGCCTGCACTGCAAGATGGAAGGCACCACGTTTGAAGGGCAGCATGGAGCCATTATGGTTTCTTGTTCCCTCGGGAAAAACCCAGACCCTCACCTGGGGGAGAAAGAAGGTCAAGGAAGACACACACATATGGAGGGGTCAGAGTGGGCGCAATGCTCTGATGGGACCCTGCACAGCAGTTGATTTGCAAGTGTTCTGCTCTCTAGCCCCCCATTCCCCGTTTCCCCAGGATGACTCACGTCCTGGGTGAGCAGGGTCTGGGCGACCTCAGACATGACACTGATGGCATCCCCCGTGCGCTTCCGGTCGATGAAGATGACTCCTGCCAGCCAGCAGGCCAGCCCAGCAGAGCCGGCCCACAGTAGCTCACGCTTGGCAATGGGCACACAGCGGCCTGGCAGTACCTCCATCATCCCTTGGGCAGGGGTGAGGGCGGGGTGAGGATCAGGGTGGAGGCAGAATGTCAGAGCAGGAAGCCCACCTCACCAAGGTCTCACCCATACTAGTAGGTACTGGAGATAAAGGAGGGAGGAGACTGGGTAGGGAAGCCCCAAGTGAAGGGAAAGGTGACTACAGGTATATGTACTCTGCTTACGGGGGCAGCTCTACCCCAGGGAAAGAAGGCCTGAGGGGGGAGCAAAGGGGCAATGTCCCAGAGGAGGAGGAGTTGAGGACCTCTAGGGAGGAGATGCCAGGGAAGGTCCCAGGAGGGAGGGCGTGGCTGGGGGAGGTGTGCCCTGTGTTGGGGTCTCACCAAGCAGGTCGAGGGAGCTCTGGTGGTTGGAGACAACAACATAGGGCTGTGAGGGAGGGAAGTGGTGAGCCCCTCGCACCTCCACTCGGATCCCATACAGGTATTTGATGTGGAGCAGCATTAGACGCAAGATCCTGTGGGGTCACAGCAAGGGGTCCCAGTGGGATCCATTGATGTCCACCTGCATGCCTCAGCTCCCTCCACCCTACTGTATTTCTGGCCACCTTTGCAGTCCTCTTCCCCTTCCTCGTCTCTGGGGTCTCCCGGTTTCTTTTACAAACACCGTGCCCCCTCCCTCCCATCCACTACTCACTTCTCACCCTTAGGTTCCCTCATCACCCACCATCCCTTGCCCCTCACTTCATGTTCTCGACATTGCGTCCTCGCACGGCACACACAGGAATGGCGAGCACAGCCAGGAAGAGGATCCAGCCATTGTAGAAGGCCATCTTGAAGAAGTACTTGGCACTGGGGCTGCAGAACCACAGGGTGGGCAGCAAGAAGAGCAGCAGCAGAAAGAGCAGCAGCAGCAGCGTCCACACCCCTGGCCACAGCTCCATTCTGGCCACCTGCAGGGGATGGGGCAAGGGATAGTCAGCCTAGTTTCTGGCAGGGAGTGGGGTAGGCAAGGCACAGAAGGCAGGGTCGAAAGGGTGCTATGAGGACAAGGGCCAAAGACAGGATGGGGCCAAGGCTCCCATGGAAACCTTCCCAGGAAGCCTCCCTAGGATGGGGGCAGTGGGGATGGGGAGCTCAGGACCGTTCTCCAACCCCTATTCCTGAAGGCTCCAGATGTATTCAGACAGGCAAGAGACATGAGATGTGGACACCCACGACTCACAGATATATGATAATAAATGACAATAATAACGATAGCTAACCCTTGCAGCTGGTAAGGTCTAATAACAGTCTACACTTCTGTTGTCCAATACAGTAGCCACCAGCCACATGTGGCTACTGAAATGTGGCTAGTCAGATTGAGATGTGCTGGAAATGCAAAATACACATCAGATTTCAAAGACTTTGAATGAAAAACAATGTAAGATATCCCATTAATAATCTTTTATATTAATTACATTTTGAAATTATAATCTTTTGGCTATATCTGGTTCAACAAAGTATATTATTAAAATTAATTTCACTTCCTTTTTACCTTTTTTAATGTGGCTACCAGAAAAGTAAAAGTTACATATGTGGCTTACATTATATTTCTGTTGGACAGTACAGGTCTATATACTCAGTTAAATCTTAAATGTGATCCACACGATGATCTATAAAGTACATTATGTACATTTTATAGGAAACAGGCCCAGAGAGGTTAAATAACATACCTGAGGACAAACAGCTCTTAAGCAGCAGTTTCTAGATAAAACCTAAGCAGCCTGTGTTCCTAAACACTCAGTTACGCTGCCACCTGCATGTATGGTACATACATACACGTACACAGCACACAGCAACTATGGCGATGGTGACAAAACACCCACAGACTTACACTCGAGGGCCAAATGGCAAGAATAAAGACTCATGTCACTAATGTCAGCAGACACGCATAGTCATACAAAGACTGACAAGTTCACACGCAGACACAAATTTACAATCATACCCAGTGACAGATAAAGGAATGTAAATGCATACCTAGAAAAATCCCTCTGCACCCCGGCAGCCTCCCCCATTCCCAGAGAAACCCATGGACATACCTGGAATAGCTACATGCACCAATCCTGCCTCGAGACAGGCAAACAAATCCCACCACCTGCTTCCCTCCCTTCTAGTGACACTTTGGGTGGGCAGGTACAGCGTGTAAGGCCTCACCAACCGAAAAATGGAGCGCAGAGAGTAAAAGGGACATAAGAGCACATGCCCTGCGAGAGGAAAGGGCTCAAGAGGAAGAGGCACAGGCACCCAGAACCTGCCTTCTAGGTTCTTCCTCCTTCCTCCACTCTGCCCCACTGCTGGGGGCAGGGTCACAGGTCAAAAAAACAGTGTTCAGGCAAATACCTGTCACTCCCAGTGAGGCCACAGGCACTCCCTTCCCATGACAGGAAGGGCAGTGCTCAAAGGTGAGCCCACTGCCAGGTGAGAAGGTAACAGCAACAGAAAGGGGACCCTGCCAGCTGGGGAGTGGTAGGCTTTCCCAGCTGCTCCATCCCACTGCCCCTGCAAGTTCAGACCAGCATCTAACTCTTTCCCTCCCATCCACCTTCTGTGCGGCGCCCACAGGGCTTTCTCTGTAACACAAATCTGAGCATTTCCCTGTCGTAAAGGCCCTTCTCGACAAGTTGACTTCTGCTTACATCTTCGACCACATCCCCACAAAAGCTTTTTTTTTTGTTCTAGTTAAACTGATTTATTTACTTCAGTTCCTCAGACACACCATGATCTTTCATGCTTCTGCGCCTTGCACGTGCTGTTCCCTTTGGCTGGAACAGACTTCTGCCTTTTCTTCTCTTGCCTCACACAGCTCAACGTCACCTTTTGGAAGGTCTCCTGAACCCCTCCGGGTCTATGTTTTCATTACATGTTTATGTTCATCAGTGGTTCTGGAAGTCTCATCCCAGATCTAATGAATCAGAAATTCTGGGCACTGGGCCCAACAATCTGTATTTTAGCAAGCCCTTCAAGTGATTCTGATGTGCACACGAGTTTCAGAACCACTGATCTCAAAAACACACAATGTGTAACTGCTCCCTGGCATTTTTCTTTCCCTCCCTAGGCTGTAAGCAGCTTGAGGACAGGAACTCTGCCTTATCTCCAATGCCAGGACAGTAAGAGGTAGAACAGGCGCCCAATAAACATTTGCTGAACAGATTATAAGGCTGTATACACACCCACACAGCCACAACTAACAACAGAAACGACAGCTTGGATCATGAATCAGAGAGCTACCCTCTGGAGGAATATTGCCTACTAAAGGAAAAGTCACCAAGAAAGTAATGAACACTCCAAGCCTAACAGTAACCTACTCTGAATACACACATACAAGGTAGAGTGACAACAATCAGGAAGGGGTCATCTCACACACAAAAGAAACACATAGAATGGGATGAACATGTGACAAGGGGAAGATGCTGCTGTCATCAAATATGTGCTAACAGTGCAAAGAGTAGGCGATGATGTCCATAAATAAACGTGGACGATGGGGCTTTACAGTAGGGTTGACCCTGTGACATGCACCGAGTTCATGGATACTGCCTGTACAAAGCCACTGGAGAGATAATGTGTGTTAAGAGACACAGGCCAGGGAGGTCAGCAGGTAAGACATGTGGGGATGGTTCTTCGGGAACCTGAAGACCCAGTTACCTTCTTCTCTAATACTGGATATTAAGTGACCCTCATGGAGAACAATTGTCCAAGGATTTAAAAACACAATGGAAGGCTAAATTTAATGAGCATATGGCTTGTAAAATATACTGACAATAAATTTATCAAATAGTACATGTAACCAGAAGCACACACGCTACGGTTGTGTTACATCAGTGTACCACATGAAGGGGAATGCACATGTGTTATGTAAACCATGATTGGGAAAACACACACAGCAAACAGGCTGATCCGATCATCGATCACCACATGAGTGTTTGCTATTCCGCCAAGCCGTGAGACCCCACTCACGAGAAGACTACTGCATATGGGAGGACCATGGACATAAAATGTCAGGCAAAACAAAATAAGGTAAATAACCATTACACGCTAAAGTACACATGCAAAACCAAACGTGTACGTAACATGAAACCATATAATAGGTGCAGCATATGAAAACTCACACGTGGTACTTGAACATGTCAAAACGGGATGTGAGACATGGACAGGAGATATGAGAATGGGCAATTCTGATGGAAAATAACACACCACGTCTCCACCACCTATGGATAGTCGGACAACCTGACTGCACACAAGTCATTAAACATGTCAAAGGCACACTAATTCAATGTAGAAAACACGGCTCCCCACCAGGCATTTGTGTGTCAGTTGTCTAGCAGTGTGGAAGGCCACTGAGAAACCAAGAGGTCCTGTGCCTAGATGGAAACAGGTGCCTGAGGGCACTTCTAGGAAGCAAATTCTGCTGGCCTTCTCCCCTCACAACCCCCGCAAAAGTTATGTGGGGTCAAAGGGCAGGAAAAAGAATTGGGGAAGCTGTAGGGAATTCCCTCTCCAGGATTCCCTGTCCACACCCCCAGTCCCAAATTCACAAGGGTTTCCATTTCTCCTCCCTCCTGTGTTTCTTCCAGCCTTCCTCCCTCTCAAGCCCTCTCTCTTTTTCCCAACAGCCCCTCTCCCCAGTCGGCCCTCATCCTTTCCCCAGCAACCCTCTCCCCAGTCGGCCCTCCCAGACCCAATCTCGCCCCATCCCCTCATCCTAGTCCTATTAGCACCCTCCTCCCTCCTCCTCCCATCCCTTTCCCGCCCACACCTCAATGGGGTGGGGGGCCTGGGGAGCTGGCCCCCTCCCCAGCCAGGATGCGGCAGCGGTGGTGGCGGATGGCTGTGTCTCTGTCTCTGTCGGGGTGTCGGTGCCAAGGGGGCGACAGGATTTGGGGGTGTCCTAGCCCCGGCCGATGGAGGGGAGGTGGGAGTGGGAGGTTGGGCCCATAGCGGTAGGAATGGTGGGGGGTTGTCCCCCCAGCACCCTCCTTCCCTCCCTTCCTGCTGTCCCTCCGAGGGCTGGGGCTGCTCCTGCCGCTATCCCCCCCACCCCTCCCCAACGCCCGTTGGCTTCCGGGGCTGGCCAGGAAGTGGGGGGCGGTGATGGGCAGCTTGTTTTACCAATCGTCTCCCAGAGACCCAGGCATCTCCTCCCCACATCTACCAGTTATGCTCTTGCTAGCTCCGCCCCAGGAGAGCTCAGCTGGGCTCTTGGTTTCTGCCCCTCTCTGGCTCCAGCTGCAGCTTTTTTCCTCCAACCCCCTTTCAGCTCTGGATCCCTTGGTGCTGTATTCTCCCTTCGGCACATTCCTTCCCCTCGTTCTCCATCCGCTCTCCTCTTACTGCCACTTTTACTTGGTCTCTTTCTGGTTTCTTCCTTTCTCCTTAACTCCAGTATCTGCTACTTACTCCAACTCTTCTCACAGACCCCTTTTTCTGTCCCTCATTCAATTCTAAACATTTATCAAGCACCTACCATGTACCAAGTACTGAGTTCACCTCTCTTCTTTTTCTTTCCAGGGTTCAATCTCACCCCACCTCACTCTCCAGTCCTCCGGTCTGGTCTCTATGCCCTTTCTCCCCCCACTATCTACCAGCAGTCCAGCTCTCTCCTCCACCCACGCTTTCTGGCCTTTAAAGAGAGGGGATCTCTCTGGTCCTCTCCCTGACCCTTTCCTTTCCATGCTCTTTTACCTCAGTACTTTTTCTTTCCTAGTTCCTTCCTTCCTATCAGTCTCCTTACTCACCCAAGCTGAGACAAACCCTCCCCCCAACCTAGAATCTATGTGCATCTTTTTTTCCAATAGCAACTAGGGTTGTTTCCTAGAAAAAAAAGGTGAGGAAGAATGCTGATTCCTCCAGGATGAGCATGTCTCCTTAACTTTGTAGCCATGTATCTAGCTCTCCAACCCCTGCTCTCCTCTTCCCATACTCCCATTAGCCCTTTACCAGGATCATTCCATCACTCCTCCCTCCTTGGTCTCCACCTTTCCCTCTCAATACCTTCTTTGCTAAACCTCTTCAAGCATACGGAACCCTCACCTGCCCAATCCTTCTCTACGCAACTCCCAACTTCTCATCTTTCCTTACTCTTGAGTCATATGGGACCTTCTTATCAGGGTGTTGCTGAACAGCCCTCAGCCTGTGTCTGCCTCCCGCTCCTAGACACACCTTTGCCTTGCATGCCCTGTGAAAGAGGATGTAAAGAACACTGGTAGTGGGAAGACTGTTACCTAGTTCTGCTTCTTGGGCCACAGTGAGGGTCACTGATTGTAGGAAAGACCCAAGCTCCCAGGGGTCCAGCCCAGGAAGAAGACCCTAGTTCTGCTGGGCAAATTACAAGAAGGAAGGGGCGGGCCTAACCCTATTCCGCCGCAGGTCACCTAAAAAGGGGCGGGCCTTGCCCCTTCTGCACCACTCACGAAAGGGTGGAGCCAGAGCTTTTCTGCTGTTAAGGTTTTAAACGGAGTTGAGGTTAACTCTGTTCTACTCTGTGTCACATTAAGAAGGAGGTGGGCCTTTAGTTCAGTTCTGCTCTGTAAAGCACCTAAAGAGGGGCGGGCTGAGTCGTCCAGCCGAGGGAGTTGGGTTAACGCCAGCACCGCAGATCGATGTTCCCACCATCCAGATGTCGGGGTAATCCCAATTCTGCTCCCTTCTTCACTAAGAGGGAGGGGCGGAACCAAGTTCTGCTCTCTACGTCACCCAAGGAGGCCGGAGCCATTTTGAACACTGCGACCCTAGTATTTGCCCTCTTTTGCTGGCTCTTCCCAATGTTGGCCAATCAGGAGCGAAGGAAACGGTCCAATCAGTCGAGAGAGTCCACAGCCAAAGAACCCGGATGACGCCAAGCCAAGGCCTTTGAACTGCAGGCCCCGCCAATTGCAGAGCAGTCACTATGGCGACAAGATAGAGGTGAAGGGGTGGGACTAGAGAAAGCTCAACCCCCACAGGGTTGGCGCACCTTGTCCCGCCGCGTGCTGCGCAGGCGCATTTTACCTCACCACCATTTTCCGTCGAGTTCTAGCCAATGAGTTGCTTTAGAGCCATACGGTCCAAAGTCCAATTGGAATCCGGACATTCTCTGAAAGAGGAAGTGAAGGAAAGAAAGGGGCTTATGGTGGGCGAGGTCTAGACAGTCTTGAGCCAATTGCTTCTGGTCTTTGGTTATGACTGGCAACTACTCAGACGAATAAAGCCCTCCCTGGCCGGGCGACAGGACGGAGTGTAGCGAGTTATTGCCAATCCCTTGGCACTGAATACTAACTGCGACTGTATCAGCCAATAGTCACTGTGTAAGGGCAGGACCGCGCAAACCCTTTCCGCCCCTACCCTTTGGACCAATGCTATCTTGTGAACCCTGTGTGATTGGCAGGCACTCAGGCCAATAGTGATTAGGAAACCTTGAAGCCTGCCCAACGATCGTGGGCAGGAGGTGGTTTCTCGTTTGTTGGGGCGTGTGTGTGTGTGTTTGAGGGGACTGAGGGGTACGTGGGGGGCGAAACAAAACCGGCCATGGCAGCAGCAGAGGAAGAGGACGGGGGCCCCGAAGGGCCAAACCGCGAGCGGGGCGGGGCGGGCGCGACCTTCGAATGTAATATATGTTTGGAGACTGCTCGGGAAGCTGTGGTCAGTGTGTGTGGCCACTTGTACTGGTGAGAGTCGGGAGGAGGGCGGAAGGCGGTGGGGCTCACCTCTATGCTGGGGAGACTGGGAGTGGGGCGCCATACAATGATACACATAATCGGAGGGCACGTCCTTATAGGTGAGGCCCGAAGAGGGGACATATATCTTTTATGGTGTGTGTGGGTGGGAAGATAACGCCTGTACAGACAGACGAGATCTGTGGAAAGAAAGGTCTTAGGAACTAGGAGCTGGGGTGTGTGGTGTGTTAAGAGGAGGAGGTGGGGCGGGGAGTAGGGGGACACCGTACGTCTGTACATGTGAAACCCGAGCCATCTTACCCCAGGGAAATGAGGATTCTTCGCTGCACAGGTGGAAACGGATAAGATACAAAGGTTAGGGGAGGCATGCATCGGTTGAGTGGGGGAGACCCAGGGAATACGGGATCATATTCAGATGAGATACGGGGGAGGGTGGTATGACAAACCTGGGGACAAGGGCACTGTGGAGGGGCAGGTTTGAGAGGTTAAGGGGTTGTGGAGATTGGGACTTCATTGAGCTTGAAGGGGAGAGGATTAGTACCAAAGTTATTGAAAGAAAAAATAAAGGGAGAGGAAACGGAGTAATGGGGGAATATGCTAGTAAAGGAGTTTGGTTTGGAGTGATGGGGCGAAAATGGGGTTGGTGCTGAAAGAGGAAACCTGGAAAGGGGTGGGTTGAAAAGAATTGGAAAGTAAACTTGAAAAGCAGAGAAAGGAGGGGATGAAATTTGTGTGTTTGTTGGGGAAAAAGAGAGGCTTGAGTGTGTTGAGGAGGGATAGAGCTTTGGGTGTTGGAAGATCAGAGAAGCAGGTAAGCCAAGTTGGCTGGCATGGTAGAGCTTGTGGAAAATATGAAAAGAAATGGCAGGTAGTACCTGGGAAGAGGGGTGAAATGGGATTCTGTGAAATCTGGGATCTGTGTCTCTCTTTTCTGTAGCTAGTTTGACCTTTCTTTTTTCGCCCCATCCAGCTGGCCCTGTCTCCATCAGGTATGTACTCAAAGGAGATGAAGAGGGAAATGGGGAGGTCTGAGGAGCTGGAAGACCCTCCTATATACTGGAAACCATTTCATTTTTTTCTCCCTAGTGGCTGGAGACACGGCCAGAGCGGCAAGAGTGCCCAGTGTGTAAAGCTGGGATCAGCAGAGAGAATGTTGTCCCGCTTTATGGGCGAGGGAGCCAGAAACCCCAGGATCCCAGGTGAGAGAGAGGTTGTGCTCAGGGAAGGTAGAAGGCTTTTGCCCTAGGAAGAGGATGTGGAAGAGGAGAGAATTCCCTGTTGATAGTCTCTCTCCTCTTTCTCAGATTGAAAACTCCACCCCGCCCCCAGGGCCAGCGACCAGCTCCAGAGAGCAGAGGGGTGAGTCTTCTTGTCCATTTGTGCCCCTTCCTTGCCAGCGATTTGTCTGGTTCCCCTCTGACTTTTTTCACCCCCCTAGGCATTCCAGCCATTTGGCGATACTGGGGGCTTTCACTTCTCATTTGGTGTTGGTGCTTTTCCCTTTGGCTTTTTCACCACCGTCTTCAATACCCATGAGCCTTTCCGCCGGGGTACAGGTAAGAGTCACACTCAGCTCCTACCAGGGAGCCCTGTCAACCCCCTGGGGCCCCCTCCTGGCCTAGAAGCATATGCTTCCCCAGCTTTCATCTCTCCCACAGGTGTGGATCTGGGACAGGGTCACCCGGCCTCCAGCTGGCAGGATTCCCTCTTCCTGTTTCTCGCCATCTTCTTCTTTTTCTGGCTGCTTAGTATTTGAGCTGTGTCTCCTTCCTGCCCACCTTCAGCCAGAGGAAAATCAGTATTGGGGCTCCCTAATGACCTTTCCTTACTCCTGGACCCCCAACCCCTCCTTTTCTGTCGGCTAAGGCCAACCCTGGCCACTCTCCAGGAGGGCTTGATGAGGAGTGACATCTGGGCGTAGGATGGGAGAATCTTCTCTGAACTGCTTGCTCAATAGCATTGTAATTCCTGGACCTAGAGGAGAGGGACAGACTAAAGACAATGTCTGTTTCTCTTCTCTCCTAATCCTTTGCTTTCCCCCAGATTTCTTGATTTGATGTTGAAAGGTGGGCAAGGCTCCCTCTGACCCTCTGCCACTTCCCCTCACGTTGATTTAATTTAATTTTTCTCTCCCCAGTGTCTAATATGGGTTCTGACTCTTAAGTGCTTCCTCCCCTTCACTACCTCCTTTATTACAAATTCAATAAAAAAGGTGAAATGTATTCATGGGAACTCTTCCCAAGTTCTTTCTTCCTTCCTTCTAGGACAGGAGCATCTTCTCCCCAACTTGAGCACATGTTTGGTGTGGTGTAGGCAATCATGGGGGTTCACAGTTCTCAAGGGTGCAGGGCTGAGGTCATCTCACGTACGCACACAAACACACATGGTGAAGATGTGTCAGGTATTTACTCATCACTGTTTGTGGGGAGCTCTGGTTGTGGAAGAAAGTTTGGCAAGGTAGGGTATAGAGTCTACAGGGGATAGCTGGTCTGGGGCCAGAATGGGTCAGAGGAAGAGGTGATGGATGGGGTCTGTCTGTGGGCCCCTCAAGGCCCTCCCGTACTGCTCTCGCCTGCCTCAGGCTCTTCGGACTGATTCAGCTCTGCACGCTCCTCCTCCTCCTCTTGGTTTTCTGGGGCCTTCCTGAGGAGGAGGATTGGGAAGAATTCCGCACATGGTTCTCAGTGCTCCATCGTTCCACCCCCAACATCTGTCACTTGCTGTCTGGTAGCCCCAGGTGCGAGGTGTCTGGCTTGCTCTCCACTCACCTCTCTTCTCCTTGGCCTCGCCGCCTTCGCCACATGATGACTCCAATGAGCAGGGCGGCTGTCCCCAGGCCTCCCAGGATCCCTAGGGCCAGGGCTAGAGTTCCCAGCCCTGACCCGCCGACAGAGCCTGTAGGGAGATGGGGAAAATTGAGGGCATGGCCCTCAGCGCTCACCATTCCTTTCTTGTTGACCAGCCCCCAGTCACGTGTTGGGAGCTATCTTCTGCTTCTCTGATATCCAACCCCTCACCTGCAGCTGGCCCCTCCTCGCCTGTTTCTGGAAGACAAAGTTGGAGCAAGTCAGAAGGGCAGACTTCCGTTTGAGAGAAGGCTATTTAGTGGGAGCCCCAGTGGCGTCTTTCCCTTTTTAATTCAGAGTGAAGAGGGGAGAGGCTCGGCTGTTCTCTTGGCAGGATTTGGGTGGGGCAGAGGAGGACTGGGTGTGGGTGCATGGAGGGAGGGGTGGGGTGGCTCTTGGGGATAATGCCAGAATAGGATAGGGAATTGGAGCCTGTGCTGTCCCTTCCCTCAGCCCCAGGGTCCCTGGCATTTGGGGAGAGTTCTCACCGATGATGCTTATGCTGACAGCAGGGCTTTTCTGGGTCCCATGGCTGGGATGGGTGGCCACACAGCTGTAGGTTCCCTGGTCCTGAGGCCCTACCTCAGGGAGGATCAGCACAGGGCTGGGGGGAAGGGACAGGGGCACACCCTGGGCAGGGGAATGGAGATAGACTATTAACAAAACCCCTGTCCGCACCCCAGACTCCTGTCTCTTTGTCTCCACATCCTCAGATACCCTCAAATGTCTTCTTCCTGAGCTCCTAGCCTGCCTCTGCCTCCATTAGCCCTCTGCCCTCCTTCCAGTCACCAGTTTGGGTTCTCCCTACCTCCCAGCCCCTGTCTCCAGGTCACTCACATCCTTCAGCCAGTGGATTTGAGGTGAGGGTTGGGCAGGGGCTTCACAGGTCAGGGTTACGGTCCCACCAGGAACTACTACTCCACCTTCTGGCTCCACCACCAACTGGACCTCCTCCAGAGGCTCAGGCTCTGCGGGTTGGAAGGGGCATGAGGTTGACAGTTACACCTACCAGTGGTTCCGGTGGCCATGGACTTGACCCCTTTCTTTCCCTGAGGGCCAGAATGTGCTCATTTGAGCTTGTGGCCCTCCCCATCTCTGTGCTCACCCCAGACACTGGGCTGGATGGGGGCTGTGTGCAAGGCCCGGCGCCGTGGCAGGCCCGGGCTGAAGCTACAGGAGAAGGTGGGGTGGGAAGCTCCTCCCCGGGCTGGGGTCACCATCAGCTCTGACTGCAGTGTGAAGAGCCCCGTCTCAGGATGTCTCCAGGTCTCTTCCTTCACAGACACTCCTACGGTGGAGGAAGGGGAAGATACGACATCCCAGGGTATGGGAGTGAGATCCGGAAGAAGGCTGCTAGGAGCGGGGAACTTAGGCGGGACTCACCCTGCCCGTCAGGTACCAGGAGTTTCCCATCCAAGTGCCAGCGAAGAGTCCCTGCAGGGTAGCCTCCCTCGGACACACAAGTCCCCACCTGAGGAAAGAGTGGTGACCTCATCATCCTTTGAAAATGAGAGATGCCATACACCCCCAACACAGCCACACTCCCCTCCTTCACGGGACCATTTTCTGCTTCTCTCTCTCTCTTTCACTACCTTACTGGGGACTCCAGCCATGAGTTCAGAGGCAGGATCTACAATTTCTGGCTTCCCAGGAATCTCTGAAGAAGGGAAAATTCCAGTCAGAGGCTGCAGCTTTGAAGGTTCTTACACTCCAGGTATGGGAATGGGGGCGACAGAAGTCGAAGGTCCTCACACACCAGGGCCAAGGAGTCAAGGGCTGGGGTTGAAGGCTTTATCTTAGATGAGAGGGGGGCCTGGGAGAAGGAAGGCCCTGGAACCCTTACGGTAGACTTGGACTCGGTAGTTGGATTTGGTCTCCTTTCCATTCCTGTTCGTTGCCCGGCACCGGAAAGTCCCCTCATCCTGGATCCCAACAGCCGGAAGAAGGAGGGAGCCGTTGGGGAGGACACGAGCCACGCTATCCCAGGGGCCTCCCTGGGGAGACAGGACCTTCCAAGCTTCTGTCCGGCCTGTGTTCTGAAGACAGAGGAGGGGCCTAAACAGTGCAGTCCTTTGGGAGAGGACTGATGAGGCAGATCACCGCTGGTCGCTCTGGACCTTGGGAGGCTGGGACAGAGGCTCTGCTTACCAGTTTCCATTCCAGCTGCTGGGGTGGTTTCTTGGGGGCCCCCTTACAGTTCAGCACCAGGGGCTCGCCGATCCGGGCTGTGACATTTTGACCACCTACTACCGCCCCTGGGAGATAGCACCATGGTGGAGGGGCAGGAAGGGAGATGGAGCAAATGAAATTAGGACAGGGTGGGTGAAGGAGCTTGCAAAGCAGTGCCTGGGTTCTAGGAAGGTTCTGGGGAGATTGGGGGGTAGGAGTGAAGTCCTTTCTGCAGCGAGGATTGGTGGGGTGGGAGGAGTGGCTCACCCCACAGACTGAGGACCAACACCCAGGCTCCAGCCGTTGCCCCTGCTGCCATCCTGCTTCCTCCCCAGGCTCCTGGCTCTGTCTGCCCCTTTCCCTGCTGTGGCCACCGCCCTAGGTGGGGCTTGCACCCTCTTCCCTGCCCCCATCTCTCAGTCCTGTCCTGTCACAGAGAATGCTAGGAATTCATGCCTCTGGGACAAGAGTCCTTCAGGTACTGGGAGAAACAATTATCACTCCACCCCTGGGCACTGCCAGCCTCTCAGGGTGGGGAGTGTGTACCTCCTAGGGTCTTATTCCCTCAGAGAACCCCCCTCCCCCGTGTATCCCATCAGTCCTGAGGGCTGCCTGGTGGCCACTGCAGTCCGTCTTGACTGGGCAAGGTCGCTGGGCTGCAGGCTTCAGGCCAGGCTGTTGTTCGCTGAGGTGGAATGGGGCAAGTGAGGGCAAGGCTAGGGCACGGGGAGAAATCTGCTCCGGGCTTCGTGAGAGAGAAGTTTTTTCTGGGGTTTCGCATATGTTTTGAAAAAATTCTCAACTAAACCCAGGGAAAAAAGAAATTTCTTTATTTAAAACTGCACTTTTTGTTGTTGTTTTTTTTTTTTTCTGTGAAACTACAAGTTTACAAGTGAGGAGAGAACTGCCCCCGGCCCGTGCCTACCGCCCCCCACCCATCACACTCCCAACCTGTCCCCCAGCCTGCCCAGATCTCTTGACGGGAGGGGTCCCCCACTCTGACAGTCTTGTAAAGTCCTGAGGATGTCTGAGGGGACCAGATGGTAGGGTTTCAGGGCCAAGGATGGGACAGTGTTGATTTTACTTTCCCCCATACCTGGCTTTTTGCAACCTCCCTCCTCTCTCCCCACCCCCTTGGTTTTGGTGTAACCAAAAGATACCTCATTTCTGGGGAAACTGAGGGAGATACACATATAAGCACCCTAACTCATGTTTCACATATTTGGCAATAACCCCCTCCCTATTCTTCCCCCTCCAACCAGCAAATAGTAGTTAAAAAAAAATTAAGGATGTGTCACTCACAGGAGAAGGTGGCATCTTCAATTTCCTCAAAATTACTGAGTCCAACCCTGCCCAAGGGCTGTGGGAAGAGGGGGGCTAGGAGGCCAGCAGGCCCTCGCTGCCTCCACAGCAAGTGCAGCAGAAACCTGCGTGCACAGGCAAAGAACACCCACATGGTTGTAGGGGGCGAGGGCTTTGTGCCCTATACAATTCACGGCCTGATGGACAGGCCTGGAGCCAGATGGGCCTATTGACCAATTGTCTGTCCCCTTTCTCTTACCAGGACCCCTCTGGCTATCACCCCAACATGGGAAAGCAAGAAATTAAAAAAGTCAAGAAAATAACATATTTATATTAAAAAAAACAACTACATTCCCAAACTAAAAATTAAGAACCACTACCACCAACAAAAGAAAAAAAACCAAAAATTTAAAAAATACAGATGGATCCCAGGGTTTCTTCTTCTTTCCTTAAAAAAAAAAAAAAGAAAAAAAGTTCAACCCCAAAGCCCAGTCAATAATTCCCTAAAGTAGCAGAAACTCCCTCCGAGGTAGATATCTGAGTCAGACACTCTCGTCCACCGAGCGGTTCTATTGGTTTAGGATGAGCTGCGTATGAGGTAATAAAGCCGTCTGGAGGGGCAGGGGGTGGGGAAGCACAGGGGGCATGGCCCACGTCCTCTGTCCAGAAGTCATGTCCCCATTTTTGGCATCTCTGGTCAGGCAGGACTGGTGTCTCCACAGATTCCAGAACATTTAAGTGGGGTGGGGGAACCCAAGAGAGAGTATGTGGGAGTGTATGGGATGACAGAGAGAGAGAGAAAGAGGTTTCTGAGTGTCTGTGTTTGTGTAAGAGGAAAAAAAGATAGAAGAAAGGGGGAGACAGACCCCACTCTCCCTTAGGGGCCCCATTCTTCCTGCCATGTAGTCAGCACCCCCAGCACTGAGAGTCTAGTTGGGGCGGGGACGACCCCATTCGCCCTTCTCTGTCTTGTGCTTCTCTTGTATTTGGGGTTTGTCTTCTGGATGCCCATGTCTTCTTCCAGAGTTGCCTTGTGAGAGCCCTCACCCCTGTGACCCTGAGGGGTGAGATCAGTTGGAGGTGTCGGAGTGAACACTCCCTGGTCCCTCTGTTGGGGATGTCACTGAAGAGGGGGTCACAGCCTCCTGCCAGCTGCCGTTTGCCTGGGAAAAAAGAGAGACAGTTGGAGTCTGGGAAACAGGGCCCTGGGAAGCCCTGTGTAGGTACAACACTGCTGGGGAAAAGGCCCTTCTGTCCTGGTGAGAGCTGGAGGGAGGGAGCTTCAGAATCCACTCACCCTCATTTCCCGAGGGCTGTACATCTGGCCTGCCCCGAGGTTGTCCCCGTACCCCCCTGGCCCCATCGAGTGTCGCAGTGATTCCACCTGCAGGCAGCAGAGGAAGGTATGACACGGTGAGAAGAAACCTCAGAAGAAAGAGGTCGTGCATCCTAAAGCGAGGGAAACAGTCTGGGAGAGCCCTACTTGAGAGATGGGGGCAGCTGACCTGGGAAGCAGAATAGGAATCTCCATTGAGCCCAGGCATCCCCAGGAACATGTCTCCAGATCCTGAGAGATTGAAAGAGCCACCAGAGCCTTGGAGGAACAGAGAGGGAGGAATATAAGAGAGCCTGTAACGGCAGATAGGAGATAACTCCGTTACCAAAAATCCCTTTAAACTAGCTCTGTGGGGATGTGCTACTATATACAAATTATCCACAAAACAACATTCCAACACTCAGAAAGAGCAGGCTTTTCCTGAGCCTCCCTTGACCACCCGCTGCAAGAAAGGCAGAATTAACTTCATTGGAGTGGCCTCTGTCCCTTGACATCTCTACCCTGTCTCAGCTTGGTCCCTCTAGCCCCAAAAGGCCCCCTCTCTGTTGTGATCCTGCCTAGACAGGAAGTGGGAACAAAAGCAGGAAGTGTGCAATACAGCCAGCTGGGGTGTCAGTGGGATCCACCTGCGGAGGAAGGGGGTGTCGGGGAGCTGGTGCGGCTGTGGCCCCCCTGGGTGACCGACACAGCAGTCTTGACGGCATAGATGTTTGCCTCTTCTTGGAACTTTCCAATATTTTTCTTATAGCGAATGCGCTTGTTGCCAAACCAGTTGGAGACCTGTGGGGTGTTGGGCAGAAAGGAAGGTCAGGTAGAAACCTTTCCCTCTGAAGCCCTTCATTGAATAGGATCTGAAAGCATTTTCTTTTAATTTTTTTTTTTTTTTTTGAAACAGGATCTTGCTATGTTGCTCAGGCTAGTCTTGAACTCCTGAGCACAAGCTATCATCCCGCCTCAGCCCTGAGTAGCTGGGATGACAGGTGCACACCACCACACCTGACTAGGATCTGAGAACGTTTTGCTTTGGAACTCCATTCTCCCCAAACCCTCATAATACCTGAGAGACAGTGATGCCACATTTCTTGGCGAGCTCCTCTTTAGCCTCCTCACTGGGATATGGGTTACTCAGGTGGGAGTAGAAATACTCATTTAGGACCTCAGTGGCCTGTTTGCTGAAGTTACGGCGCTTTCGTCTACAAAGGGGGGAGAAGGGTAGTGAGGAGGATGTTGGTGTCTTGCAGGGCTGCCATGTCGCATGACTCCAGAGGGCACCACTGTCTTGGAGTTCCGTGCTGTGCAACACGGCAGCCCAGGGCCTTGGAGAGGAATGGGAAGGAGCCTGGTGCTGGGGGCTGGCCTGGGTCCCTGGGTCCCACCTGGCATCCAGGAAGCGGGAACGCAGGATCATGACGGCCTCGCAGGTGCTCTGCTTGAGCTGCATCTGGATGGCGCTGAACTTTCGGTGGATGATGCTCACCATGCGCTCCATCTCTTTGGGTGCCACTGGCCTCGTGCGGCTCTGCTCCCTCAGCAGGTTCATGACATGGGTTGTGAACTCATTACATGCCTGTAGTGGGGGCCAGTATGCTGGTGAAGAGGAGCCCTTTGGTTTTGAGATTCCTTCCCCAGAGCCCCTCCCTCCACACCTCCCCTCAGCCCCTTCTCCTCACCTGTTCATACTTCTCCAGCTCCGAGTGGTAGATGTGGCGGATCTGGGCAAGTTTGCTGCGATAGTCCGAGTGTTCGATGGAGTTGTCAGGGGACACGCCGCCCCCGGAGGCTGCAGCGGCTGCAGCTGCTGCTGCTGAGCCCCCCCCTTTCTCGGGCCCAGCCACACCCTCTGCCAGAAGCATGTTGTCCAAGCGCATCAGCTGTGGGTCCACCGGCTCCTCCTCTTGGGAGCTTCGGATGCTCAGGCCTAGCATGTAGGCGGGTGGACTTAGGGACCCAGGGACCCCACACCCAGCACTCAGTCCTCCCGGTGCCTCCTGGAGACCCAAGTTCCCAGGCTTTGGTTCCTTTCCCAGTCCCCTTAGCAACCTTCTCGACTCTTCACTTTCCTCAGGGGCCCAAGCTGTCACAGTCTTTAGCCCTACAATGAACAAGGTTCTGTCCCCAGAGTTGACCAAATCAGAGGGGGACACACATACCGGTTTTCTCCTTGATTTCACACAGGACGCTAAAGAGAGCAGGCTTCATTCGGTGGCAGTTTAGGGCGTGTTTCCTTGGGAGGAGTGGGAGTGGGAAAAGAGAAAAGTTGAGGAGCTAGAGAAACAGAGCAGGGGTCTCTGAGGCGGAAGGGAGCCTGGGAACAAGGAGGGAGAAGGGTACATGTGCAGAGGGAGGAAGCGGGTTGGGGGTGGAATGGAGTTGGGGAGGAGGCTCTTGGGAAAAGATCAGCTCGGAGAGCGTGGGGAAGCTGCTGGGCTTCAGGAAGACAGAGGGAAGACGCAAGCAGCAGGCCGAAGGCACCATGGGTGGGCTGGGGGCTTTGGGAGATGGTCTAGGAAGGTATGAGGTGGGATTTGGGGGTGACTGGAGACATGAAGGTGACTAGGTACTCTTCAGAGGAAGAGAGATGGAGTTTGAGGTGGCAGAGAGGGATTGGGGGTGCCGAGCTAAGTGTGTGTGAAGGGGTCCCGGGGCTGAGTAGGTGGGAGGCTTTGATGCACCTGGCGTCTGGCTGAGCAGAGGGAAGGGTGGGTGAGGACCCTTGGAGGCTGGGGCCGCGGGTGGAGAGGAGTGTTAGGAGCTCTGGAGAGTGTGTGGAGGTCCCCAGGTCTGGGGAGAAGCGGGTGGGCTGGGTGGAGAGTTAGGGGAGAAGACAGCATAGCCTAAGAACAGCTTCTTAGTCTGGGAGCCAGAAGGAGGCTCCGGAGATGGGGCTGTTCCGGGGAGTGTGGGGGTCAGCAAAGGGTTAGGAGGGGGAGTGGGGCCACCTGGGGTTCCCTCTGTGAAGGTTTCAGGGCCTAGGGATCAAGGGAGGTTTGAGAAGGATCACTTTTCTAGGGGCTCCCAGGAGTAAGGAGGCAGCTGCTGGATCCTGGAGAGGGCCCTGGAGTTGGGGGGCTCCCAGAAGATTCACAGCTTCTGAACGGGGCTTTGCCGGGTCTGTGTGGGGTCCCGGGGTGGGGGCACTCACTTGGCCTGGGCCTCGTCCAGGCTCTGGTCGGTGATGGTCATTATCTGCTGCAGAATGTCCCCGATGTCTTGCTTCCCTCGGCCTCCCGGGACCCCCCCGCTACCCCCACCGGGGTCTCCGCCACCGGGAGGCTCGCCAGGGCCCCCAGGATCCCCACCCACCAGTCCCAGGCCCCCCCGGCCCCCGCCTGGAGGGGGCGGCCCCAGCAGCCGCTCGTCCATAGCTGGGGGGGGCCCTGAGGCCCCCTCCCTGCTCCGCCCCTCCCCCCGCCTGGTTACTTCCCCCCCCAAACTCGCTGGGGCCGCTGCTCCCTCCGCCCCAACCCCCGCCCGTCTTCCCCCCTCCCGGCTCCCCCGGGGTTCACCCCGGCACTGAAGGGAGACCTGGGGTACCAGCTGGGCCCCCCACAGGAGACCCCGGCCCCCGGCGGCGGAGAAAATGGAGCCGGAGAGAGAGAGGAGGCCCAAGCGGGGGTGTGTATGAGAGAGAGGGAGGAGGGAGGAGGGAGAAGGGGGGGAGCGAGGGAGGGAGGCTGGGGGAGGGGAGACGAGGAGGAAGAGGAGGGGAGAAGAGAGGAGGAACGGGGAGGAGCTGGGGGCGGAGAGAGACACACAGAAACAGAGGAACTGAGACTGAGTGGAGGAGGGGAGAGGGAAGAGGGGACAAGGGGAGGAGACTGGCCCATCGGGGAAAATATGGGAAGGCCCCGCTGGACTTGGGTGGCCTGGGAGAGGGGCGTGTTGAGGGCTAGGAGGCCTGCCACCTGGGTTCTGAATTAGGGATCTGGGTGATGTGGACTCTGGCCGCTGGAATGCCTGGGTTCACAGACAGCTCAGTTCATATTTCTTGTTCTAATGACTCTCCTCCCTGTTCTACTTAATTAAAACCAGGAGAGAGGGGCTGGGGGAGATAATTAGGGAGGTCTCCAGCCGCTGCTTAATGAGCCAGTAATTAACCAGCCAGGGAGGGGAGCTGGCCTCTGGCCAGACCGGGGAGAGAGGTGGCCTCTGGCCTCACCTGCCTACCTTCCAATCTCTGCCCCGCCCCCCCCCAGACACCAGTCTTCAGTCCAGAGGGGAATTACATTTATTCATACAACCAAAATATCAGACAGACTCAGAGCAGCAGTGGGGAGGGAGGTGGGCAGGGCTAAAGGTCCATTCACAGCCTGTAGGCCCCTCAGTGTCGTGGCTGGGGTGTGCGGGTGGTGATGGTGGGAGTGAGAGAGGGAGACTAGTTTTAATCTGTCTTGGCTGTACCCCCCTCCCCCTTTCTTCTTACTGGGAAGGAGGGTAGAGCTGGCTCTCAGGTCGTAACCTTGGGAGATTTGCCTTTTCTTGGGAGGTGGAGGCCTGAACCCTCAGACCTGCCTGGTAACTTGACTACTGGTGGTGTCCCCACAGCTCAGGACAGGGACTCCTATCTACTCCCTGAGACGGGTGCCAGGGATCCTCTTACTGCCTCAAGTGCCCATGTACTAGGGGAGGGAGTTAAATGACCATCCTACCTTGCCTATTCCCAGGGTTTGAGGACTTTCACCCCCTCCAGTTCTCAGGGAAGGTGATGAGGGTGATGAATATTGAGATTTCTGCTGGATTTTCCAGTCTCTGGTACCCTGCCGAGCAAGGGTTGAGGGCATGCAATGGGCTGCCCAGCTTTGAACCCCAGGAGTGAGGAGGGCTGGTGGGGGGCTCAAGTCTCAGCAGATGTGTGGGGGGGGCTGGGACCTTTGCTCCTCCATTCGACCCCCACCCTGAACTCTCAGCAGCAACTCCAGGAGCTCCTGCCCTCCTGGGGGGAGGGGAGGTTCTGACCGCTGGGCTTCCATCCGCTGGCACTGGAGGAGTGGAGGGAGAGGGAGAGCTTCGGTGAGGGTCTGGGACGAGGCCCTTCAGAGGAGCCAGAGTTGGAATGGGGGAGCGTATAGGAAACCTGTGATGGGGACGGGGTGACTAGGGCCTGGCGATGGGGCACATGCCTAGGGAGAAAGAGGGGTAGGGCCCAAAAGAAAACACAAGCCAAGAGACCAGGAGACCTGGGCAGGGCCTCGTGGCGTGGCGGGTGTCTCACCTGGTGACTGAGGATGGTGCTGTAGAGCTGTTCTTTGTCCTCAAGAGGCCGGGGCAGGGCAGGGGCTAGGCTTGGGGGGCTCTGTGGGGCATGGAAAGTGGCCCTCTGCTCCTCTAGGCGGCGGGATTGGGCCTCAGCCACCAGGTCCAGAAGGAGCTCAGTCTGCAGGGACAGCAGGGAGGCCGAGCGGGGCCCCAGGGCTGGGGAGATGAGGGGGCAGAACTCAGAAAAGTTGGCAGACAGGAGCTGTAGGGGGTGGGGACAAGGTTAGGTGACTAGGGACAGAGCCAAGGGAGTACAATGGGGAGTCCCATCGGGAATCTGGAGGAGGTGGGGAGGGGGCCCACAACGCAGTGAGCCTTGGTAATGGGGTTAGGATGTGGGCACCAGGGTCGGGGAGCCCACTGGGTGGGTGGGGTACCTGTGTGGCGGGTGCCCGGAGGAGGAGGGGATGGAGGAGCAGATCGCCAAGGCCGAGCAGTGGAGTTCGGAGGGGGCCAGCCTTGCTCATCCTGAGGGGAGCCCTGATGCCAAAAGACGTCCATTCCAGTCAAGCGGTGGTGGTTGAAGGGGGTGGGGTGGACAGGGGGCTAGGCCAGTGGCCCATTTCCTTTCTCTGTGTCTCTGTTCCTGCCACAGTCTGCCCAAGCCTCTGCAACTCCTTTGTGTCCACCTGTGTCACTAGGTCTCTGCCCCTAGGTCCTCTCACCTCTCTTCTCTCCCAGTGGCAGCCTTCCCCACCCAGTGCCCAGCTCACCTGTTCGCCATCCTCTTCTTCCTGGGGTCTCCCGGCCTCCATCCCCTGGAGGGGAGAAACTGATGGGGGAGGGGTGCTGGGACTTGGAAGGAGGGCCAGAACAGGTTCCTGAGCCGACTAGGGGCTGGAAGGGGTGGGGGTGAGCTGGGGGCTGGATGTCTGGGTACTGAGCAGGAAGCTGGGTTCCTGGTCAGCCCCCCCATGGGCCCCGCCCATCCCTGTCAACTTCCTCCATTCTCTTTTCCCACTCAAACAGCTCTTTTGAGCTTTCTTGCTCCCACAGAGGCTGGGGAAACTCCAGCTGCAGGAGTGGAGAGGGCTCATGGTGGGGAAGGACTCCTGGCCTTTGCATCTCCCGAGCTGCAGTAGCCCCTCAATCCTTGGCTCTGCTCCCTCCACCCCTGCCTCCCCTTCAGCTCTTTCTGTCAACACAGGAACTAGCTACACAGGAAGTGGTTTCACTCCTCGGAATCCCCCTCCCCCCAACCAGGTCCCTTCCCTCCCCAAGACCCTGATGTAGGATTTGGCCCTCCCCATCTTCCCTGAGACTTATTGGGACTGGGAGGGGCATGGTTCCAGTGGGAAGCAGAAGAGTCAGACCGTGGGACGTCAAGCTCTCAAATGTATACAGACTCTTAGCACTGGGTCCAACACATAGTAAGTATTCAATAAATATCTGTGGAATAATTATTCCTGTCCTCTAGGTATATACAGTCTATTTAGGAGACAAAATGCGCACCATATATGAGAGAACGTGCCAGGGTTCACTCTGGCAACTCAGATTACTGCAGATAAGGGGCAGGGGAAAACTTTACTTTGTTCATAAATGAGGGATATGGAAAGGGAAAAGGGAGTAGACCACCTTTCTGGCTTGGTCTTTGATCAATGTTAGTTGGGCTGGTTGGCACCGAGTAGGGAGCAGGACAGGTAGTAATTTGGGAACTCTCAATGGCAACCTGCCATGTTAGGGGGTTTACAGCTGAGTGACTTGGAGCATGAAATGTAATGGAGATCTGGTCCTGTCATTAAATGCTTTGCAGTCTTGGGCAAATAAAATCTGTGCCTCAGTTTCTGAAAGAGTAAAAGAGGGTTTTAATAGCACCTACATCATAGAGTTGATGTGAGGATTAAATGTAATAAGGCACTTGGTGCATAGTGAGTGAATGATCAATAAATGGTAGTACTTGGCCAGGCGTGGTGCTCAAGCCTGGAATCCCAGCACTTTTGGAGGCAGGAGGATCGCTTGAGGCCCATGCTTCAAGATCAGCCTGGGCAACATAGTGAGACCCCGTCTCTACAAAAAATTAAAAACAAATTAGCCAGGTGTGATGGCATGTGACTGTAGTCCTAGCTACTCAGGAGGCTGAGGCAGGATTGGTCAAAGCCCAGGAGTTTGAAGCTGCAGTGAGCTATGATTGTGCCCACTGCACTCCAGCCTGGGTAACAGAGTGAGGCCCTGTCTCAAGAAAAAAAGGTAGTATCTTTCAAAATGCCTCATGCCTCCATGTCTCAGGCTTAGCAGCATTAAAGAGGTGCCATCATATTGCTGCAAGGTGGACAAAGCTTCTTTAAGATGCTCTGTCCATCTCCATCTTCTTGACTTGAGGACTCAGGAATACCCTAAGGGGCCATAACTAAATGTCTTTGGATGAGCGACAAAGTGTATGCATGGCCTACTGTGTATATGGGTTCTGCCTGGGCTACCAGAGACTCCTGCTTTCAGATAGTACCCTAAATTGACATGGGACCCCCAAATGTATTTATTCTTGCTCTTAAACTATACTTACAGCCTTCATCCAAATGCTGCGCCTAGGGCACAAAGTTCTGACAACACTATGCAGCCATAGTGTTTTTTCCCCATTTCTCTCCCCAACCCTTCCAAAAAAAAATAACACTTCAAATCAGCTTTATTATGGGTGACAGATTTGGAGTTCTTAAAGAGACATAGTAGTGGCTAGAAGAGTGGCGCTTCATCCCTGCAGCGGAGTTTCTCTGTTGGGGGGTCGGAGGGAATGCAAGGAGTCATCAGCGGGGGTGGGGGGTAGGGAGAGCTTGGCCACATTTCAGCATCTACACAGTGCCTGGCACATAGTTAGGTGCTCAATAAATATTTGTCAGCCGTTTGTGGGCAATAAATGATAGAGGCTCCCTTTGGGAACCATATTCAGGAAAAAAACGTCTTACATCCTATCTGGCTACAGTTCTTGGCTCCAGTTTAGGGGTACTTCTCCCACTCCACTCTGTCCTCCTGTAACCTCTTACCCTTATTTTCTGAAAGAGGGACTGGGCTTGCCTCATCCCAGCATCCTAAATCCTCTTTCCAGAGCTGCAGCTTCTCCATGTGGAAGATGATGCCTGCTCCGGTGGGCATACCCTCATTTTACAAGGGAAACTAAACTTTTGGGGCTCCATCTTAAAAGCTGGAGGGCTTTCCGGAATACCTGTCATTTAAAGGTAATCATTTTAGAATTCGTCCCCCTCATGTAGCCTTCTATTTCTGACTCTCCCCTTCTAAGTTTAAAGGCATTTCTTGGCAGGCTGGGGGACCCCAAGCAACTTGAGGAGATCCCCGCTCCGGGGACGGAGTAAGGCAAGGAGGCGGGATCGGAATGTTGGAGGTGGGGCCGCAGGCTCCCAAGGCCAGCCAATCACAGGGCCAATCATCCGCTGAGGCCCTGCCCCCGCGCCCGGGGGCAACTCCGGATCTTCCTGGCATTATCGCAGGGTTGGGTCGAGGCCCCCGCATGCCCGCAGAAAACCTACGACCGCGAAGGGCCGGGCCTCCTCCTGCTGCTCCTCCCGATAGGCTCTGGCAGTGCGAATAGGCCGCGCCCCCGCGCGTGGCCCAGTCTACCGACCCGGTCCGAGCTTGCAGACAAGCTCCGCCCCCACGCGGGCCGGCTCCGGCTGACAGCGTCCGGCAGCGCGGCACAGCCCCGCCCCTTTGCGGGGGTGCGCCTCCTGACGCGGTCCGTGCGCGCCGCACAGCTCCGGCCTCGCGGCCCGGCGTAGCTTTGTGACGGACTTCGGGGGGCTCCGCCCCTTCCAGCAGCGTCAGCAGATCCCAGTGGTTCCGGAGGCGGGCGATGTCCCCCGGCGCTAGCCCAGCCTGGTCCCGTAGCTCTCGGGCTGCCCCCAGCCCCAGCAGCAGCTGAGCTACCTCCACCGCTCCTTCCCGGGCCGCCAGGAACAGCGGCGTCTGCTCCTGGACCGCAGGAAACAGCCAGGGGCCGAGGTCAGGGGAGGCCGCGCCCACAGAACTGGCCCGTTGGGCCTTCACCTACTTGACCGCCGGCCCCGCCCCTTTCAGGGGTTCCCTGTCTCTCCCGCGCCCGGTTTTTTTGTCTGTAGCCCGCTGCCCGTTCTAACCCTGCTGTCCTGGGCGTCTTTATCGGATCCAGCCTGGAGAAGGGAGCGAGCGGCTCGGGCGTTGTTCACTGCAGCGGCCCAATGCAGCGCGGTTTTTCCTGGGGACAACGTGGGAAGTTGTTACGGCGATTGGGGGCCAGACGCCTGGGTTCCGGTTTCCCACGGGTTCTGGCCTTGGGGGAAGAGCTACTCGGCACGCGGGGCCCTCAAGGGCGGGAAGCGTTGCCTTGGCGACCACCGGCCAGCAGGAAGCGTTGCCCCGGTGACGTCACCGGCGCGCGGGAGGGACAATGGGGCATTGTTCTGGGGTCGGTGGGACCCAGAGGCCACCTCCCCCCCACGAGACCTTTCCTTTCCCACAATCTCCTCTATTCCAGTTTCCTGTGGGCTGGAGCAGAGTGTATGTGTGTTGTTTAGGATGGTGGTAGAAACTCAACGCGCTCCATAGTGCCACCGCACCACGGATTTACCACCGTGACAGCAGGGCGGGAGGGAATGTCCCTCCAGTGATCCCTGTGCTGCCCCTATATTATTTTGCACGTCATCTCACAGCCCATCTGCTCAACTTCTCAATATCATAACATCACTCTCCCCCCTTCCCCCCCCCCCACATACCCCATTTATCTCTGGCCCCCACGTCTGCTCGGGCTGCAATCAATTCTTCAACCAGGTCCTCCACCGCCAGTCTAGCGGCCAGCATCAAGGGTGTAGTCCCGTCCTCTGTGCGTGCATCAACTGCAGTTTGTCTGCTGCGGAGTAAGAGCTGAGGGCACAGAGATGGCCAGTGACTCCATGGACTGTTAGCTCGTGTCTCTCACACTAAACTCCCCTCCCAATCCATATTTAGCCATCTTCCGTTTTTTCCCTTTCGGGTCCGCAATTTCACCTCAGTTTCCTCTTTGTCAAGCCTTAGGGGATGCGTCTGCCCAGCTTTACTTGTAAACTCTTCCCCCATTCCCTTTAGGGACCTCTGTGCGCTGACCTGGCAGACCTCCCGAGCATCAGCAGCCACAGCCGCGTGAAGCGGGGTGCGTCCTGCCCGGTCTGGCTGGTTGGGATTGGCTCCAGCCTCAAGGAGGCGGTGTGCAGCGGTTGGCCGGGAGAATCGTGCAGCCAGGTGTAGGGGGGTCTCCCCAGTGCCCACGGTGTGAGCCTGGGGACAGGCCCCTTCATCCAGCAGAGGTTCCCAGGGCTCAGGACTTCCCAACCATGCCCCCTGGAAGGTCCTGGACTTGACTCTCCCACAGCAAACTGCTGACATGAGTGGTGTTACTCCATCTGCGGGCGAGACATTAGTCACACGGGGGGTCACACGGGGGTCAGTCACACGGACACAACAAGGGAGAGGGGACAACACAGGGCTCAGGTAGAGTCAAAGCCTGAGGTGTCAGGAAACCAAGTTCTGGCTCTTCACTTTTTGTGGCTTTCGTAAAGTGACTTCTCTCTAAGCTTCTTTTTCCTCATCTGTAAAAGGAACCAGGAGGCCTTAACTCTAACATTCCAGGGCAGTGGCTTTCAGAAACTTGAGTCTGGATCAGCATCGCCTGGAGGGCTTGTTAAAACACAAATCGTCTAACATCTTGAATTTCTGAATCAGTAGCTCTGCAGTGGAGCCCAAGAATTTGCATTTCTAACAAATTCTCAGGTGATGCTGATTCTGCTGTCTAAGGTCTATACTTTGAGAATCATTCTTCTAAGGTCCTAAGTCTAAGATTAGTTCCTCCAGTTCTGGTATTAAAGGACTTTCTGATTCTAAAAGGGTCAAAGGAAGTTTTTTCCATTTTCTCGGTCTGGGTTGACTTATATACCAGGTCCACGAGCGTCCAGGTCAGGGGCCTCCATCTCGGATTCCTGGGGAGGAGTCAGCATGGCTGCCTGAGGGAGCTCCCCACAGCCACCGCTCAGAGGCCAGAGCTGGCACTTGGAGGGGGAGGCTGTTTCTTCAGCCTTGGGGTAAGAGCAAGGATCAGTGAAGGTCCATTTGTCCTTTCTTCCCCTCCATCACCTCCAGACCATTCTTTCCCCAGCCCTTTCACCTGGCCCACCTCTTCTCCCTCCTCAGG